CTCACAGCAAGAAGGTCACTGGTTCGATCTTCGGGTCAGTTGGTGTTTCTGTGTGGAGTTTGCATGTTCTCCTTGCGGTCATGTGGGTTTCCTCCGGGTGCTCCGGTTTCTCCCACAGTCCAAAGACATGCGGTACAGGTGAATTGGGTAGGCTAAATTGTCCGTAGTGTATGAGTGTGTGAATGTTTCCCAGTGATGAGTTGCTGCTGGAAGGGCATCCGCTGCGTAAAAACATGCTGGATAAGTTGGCGATTCATTCCGCTGTGGCGACCCCGGATTAATAAAGGGACTAAGCCGACAAGAAAATGAATAAATGAAGTCTCAAGTCCTAAATTTTGTGACTTAAGTCTGACCCGAGTCAAGTCATGTGACTCGAGTCCCCCATCTCTGCACCCTAAAGCAGGGGTTCTCAACTGGTTTGGCCATGGGACCCACATTTTACATAGTCATCAAGCCGCGACCCAAATTTTTAGGAACTATAATATAATTTTAGGAATTATAGTTAATTTGTATTTATTTGTTAATGTACACAAGTAGTGACCGATAAATCACCAAGACTTACAAATAAACAATACTTTATTGCTGTCATTTAACAAAATGTATGCACTTTTGTGATGCCCTCAGCTCTTGAGAGTCGTCTTAGAAAATGGTCCACAGGTTTGTCCTTGCAACTGGGATGTCTGGTTTCTAAATGTGGTTTTAGTTTAGAAGGTTTCATGCTCTCTTGTGAGAGCACCTCACTACATAGGACACACTGAGGTTTTAAGCCTTTTTTGTCAACAATATATGTAAATCCATACTTTACATATTTACATTTACATTTAGTCATTTAGCAGACGCTTTTATCCAAAGCGACTTACAAATGAGGACAGGGAAGCAATTTACACAACTATAAGAGCAACAATGAATAAGTGCTGTAGGCAAGTTTTAGGTGTGTGAAGTCTAAGAAGGAAAGTATTAGTAGTATTAGTATTTTTATTTTTTTGGGTACAGTTAGTGTGATATCCCGAGAGGCAATTGCAGATTAGGAAAGTGGAGACTAAATAGTTGAGTTTTTAGTCGTTTCTTGAAAATAGCAAGTGACTCTGCTGTTCTGATTAGGAACTGTTCTCAGTTAAGGAGTTCATTCCACCAACTGGGCAGATTGAGCGTGAGCGTTCGGGAAAGTGATTTCTTCCCCCTTTGGGATGGAACCACGAGGCGACGTTCATTCACAGAACGCAAGTTTCTGGAGGGCACATAGATCTGCAGAAGTGAGAGCAGATAAGAAGGAGCAAGGCCAGAAGTCACTTTGTAGGCAAACATCAGAGCTTTGAATTTGATGCGAGCAGCAACTGGCAGCCAGTGCAAACGGATGAGCAGCGGAGTGACATGAGCTCGTTTAGGTTTATTAAAGACCACTCGTGCTGCTGCATTCTGGAGCAGTTGAAGAGCAGTTGAACAGTTGAGCAGTTGAAGATTCAGGGTTGTACTTGCTGATCTTTGATATATTTCTAGATATAATGAAATAAAATTTCACATGTCAATCAGTACGGTTGTCGTGTGCGCATTTCAAAATAAAAGTCCAGTATGAGCTAAATATAAGCTAAAATCTAAACTTTTGTTGTTTTATTGACCACACACTCCGAGACCCACTGAAAATGTTCCTGCGACCCACTTTTGGGTCACGACCCTCCAGTTGAGAAACACTGCTCTAAAAGATATGAGGATATTCTTTCAACCCAAATCTTGCATTTGGGTAATTTTTGGGGGTTATTTTCAGAGTCTTGGGTAGGTTTAACCCAGCTCTTTGGGTCAAATCAACTCACAGCAGGGGCTGACTGGGATACCACATACTAATTTGTTTAAATGCAATGAAAATACTGTAACAAATACAGATTCCTTGCGATTTTAGATGATCAAAATGAGATTTATGCTCAAAGCAGGCCTTAGTCGGACCTTTCGAAATTAAAATAAATTTTTTACTAGCACCTTTTGTACACCTGCAAAGCTGCACGTCCCCCACCGTACTTCAGAGATGCCGTGTCAAAACAACACAACTGCTGGGTCGTCTTTCGCAGACATTTTTGGATCAAATGAACCTATTATTTAAGTAAAAATAACCAATTATTAGGTAGAATAACCTCATTTATGGGGTTAAAAATAATACCCCAATTACTTGGGTTAATTTAACCCCGGATGTGTTCTGTCCCATATTTACCCAGCAGTAGGGTTAAAAACAACCCAATTTGGGTAGTTTTTAACCTTGTGTTTTTTAGAGTGTGGTTGGTGGTTCATTCCGTGGTGGCGACCCCAAATAAATAAGGGACTACGCTGAAGGAAAATGAATAGGGATGTAACGGTATTGTAAATACCGTCATACCGCAATATTAATTTTTTTCGATATTACCGTAGTCGCATGACTCGGTAAAACTATAGGTCTTCTGAGAAAATTTGCTCAGGCGAATGAAGCGAACGGGAGGTAGCGGAAACTACAATTCCCATCAGCCCATGCTTGACCATCATCCCTTGCGGTCTGTTGTCGCTACAGATCCAGTAATGTGGAAATGGAGTGTGCTGCTAGAAGCGGGGATGAAAAAGAGCTGGAAAACTCTAAAGCGGGTGTTGTCGCCACGCACGTACTGAATAGCGGTGTTGTCGCGCGAGTTCTTATCAGCTGTGTTGTCGCGCGCGTACTGAATAGCGGTGTTGTCTCGCGAGTTCTTATCAGCTGTGTTGTCGCGCGCGTACTGAATAGTGGTGTTGTCGCGCGAGTTCTTATCAGCTGTGTTGTCGCGCGTGTACTGAATAGCGGTGTTGTCGCGCGAGTTCTTATCAGCTGTGTTGTTGGGCGCGTACTGAATAGCGGTGTTGTCGCGCGAGTTCTTATCAGCTGTGTTGTCGCGCGAGTTCTTATCAGCTGTGTTGTCGCGCGAGTTCTTATCAGCTGTGTTGTCGCGCGAGTTCTTAGCTGTGTTGTCGCGTGAGTTCTTATCAGCTGTGTTGTCGCGTGAGTTCTTATCAGCTGTGTTGTCGCGCGCGTACTGAATAGCGGTGTTGTCGCGCGAGTTCTTATCAGCTGTGTTGTCGCGCGAGTTCTTATCAGCTATGTTGTCGTGCGAGTTCTTATCAGCTGTGTTGTCGCGCGAGTTCTTATCAGCTGTGTTGTCGCGCGCGTACTGAATAGCGGTGTTGTCGCGCGAGTTCTTATCAGCTGTGTTGTCGCGCGAGTTCTTATCAGCTGTGTTGTCACGCGCGTACTGAATAGCGGTGTTGTCGCGCGAGTTCTTATCAGCTGTGTTGTTGCGCGAGTTCTTATCAGCTGTGTTGTCGCGCGAGTTCTTATCAGCTGTGTTGTCGCGCGAGTTCTTATCAGCTGTGTTGTCGCGCGAGTTCTTATCAGCTGTGTTGTCGCGCGCGTACTGAATAGCGGTGTTGTCAGCACACTGTTCAGATTGATGCAGACATGAGACCTCTATCTTACTCATGGTTTGTCCTCTCAAGTGGGGGAAAGACAATGCACAACGTCACCCACTGCTGTCAACCTGGGCTAAATCATATCTCTCTTGTCCCAGAAACCTCAGTCCCAAATGAGAGGGTTTTTTTCTGTTGCAGGGGACATTGTAAATGCCCAGAGATACCAGCTTTTACCAGATTATATTTATATGATTTTTCCTTTAAACCCATCTCTATCTAAGTGAGTGAGTGATTAAATGTTGAATGTGATGAGTTTTCAACAATACTAAATTGAAACTTTATTTTTTTACATGGTTTAATATTTTTTTGTTATTAAAATTGAAGTTCCTGTTTCAAAGCTTACAGATAGATGGCTAATTTGTATGTCATTGACACTTTTGGCACTTTTTTGGAGTATTTTCATAAGTTTTGTTTTTTCCTGTAAATGATTCAATAAATACTGTAACGTGACATTCATACCGAGGTATTACCGTACCGTGAAATTCTGATACCGTTACATCCCTAAAAATGAATGAATGAATGAACGAACTCCCTTAAACATTAGTTTTTATTAATTCAAGCAAACTGTTACAGTAAACAGTTACGTACGATACACAGTTTACAGTATCTTAAATCTTCTTTCTTGTTGCTCTTTTTTCCTTCTTGAACACAGAAACAGCGAATGCTGGAGAAATGCAGGCAAAAGTAGTAACAGCACGATACATTCAACTCTTCCACATTTACACACACCGTAAGGCTGAAAAAGAGACGCGCATACACACAAACACACACACACAAAGAGACAGACAAACAGATGCAGATGCACACACACACACACACACACACACAGGT